GTTTAACTTCATCGCAGACTCTTATCTTGAGCAAGCATGAAGGTGACGGTGGAAAGGAAAAACTCATGAGGAAGAAACCTTTAGCAGAACCAGACTCAGGACAAGAGGTCATCTGCTTCGAGCGCCTGGGTTTGAGAGGAATAGGAAGGAGGAACAGATACACAATGGCAGGTCAAAATCACATGTTAAGCTAGAAATAATATCAAATAAAAACTATTCAATTTTAGCAAATCTGTTAAAGAAATGAGGTCAATTTATCCTCTAGTAGTCTAAGCTTATAGCAGCATAATAAGCCAACCCTAACTATAGGATTTATCAAAAAGGAACGTCTTAAGCCCAGTCTTAAAACTGGACAAAGTGTCAGCCTCATGGACAGAAACTGGAAGTTGGTTCCTCAAGAGAGGAGCCTGATAACTGGAAGATCTTCCTCCCATTCTGCATTCCCATTCTGTAAGAGTGCAGTCTGAGAGTGAAGTGCTCTGTTAGGAAAATATGGAACAATAAGATCTGTAATATAAGATGGAGCTAGGTTGTTGAGAGCTTTGTGTGTTAGAAGTAAAATTTTGAATTAAATTCTGGACTTGACAGGGAGCCAGTGGAGAGAAGCTAAAACTGGAGAGATATGATCTCTCCTACTAACTCCAGTTAAGACTCTGGCAGCAACATTTTGGATTAATTGAAGTATTTTTAAAGAAGTATTTGGACACCCAGATAACAAACCATTGCAACAGTCCAGTCTAGACATGACAAATGCATGAACCAGTTTTTCTGCATCATTTTTAGATAAGATGTTTCTAATTTCAGTGATATTACGCAGGTGGAAGAAGGCGGTTCTAGTAGCATTTTTAATATTATGAGAGTGTTCGTTTGTCTTTGGTACAAAGAGAAACACATTTAACAAAACATATGGACAGCAATTATTTGTTACATGTACAACTGATTAACATGCATTCCTTCAAGGAATGTGCAACCTTTCATGAACGTTATAATTCTGTAACTCAGCTGGGTGTAAATTAACTGTCACAGATTGGACAGGCCTCAGACAAAACTGCATTAATAGATTTTAAAGGAAGTGGACGAGGAAAAACCTTGAGCGTCGCTGACATGATGCAATATGAGTGCTCGGGAGTGCGCGTAATCATCTGCATCTTGTGGGAAAGACAATAAGATCAAAAAGGCCTCAGGACTGATGCGCTTCCTGTTGCATCAAGATGTGAAAGGTTACAAGAATGAGATGCAGTCGAGTGAGGAAGGATGAAGTGGAAGCAAAGGGCAACATCTGCCAAAAAGCAGTGCACTACACGTCTTGCCACAACAAAGTTAGCTGTGTTTACGCTGAAGTATTAGCAAAATTTATTTAGAGGCTTAGCATTTTTTTTTTTTGAAGGAATGCATCTTCTCCACCACTTTTCATGCCAGAGTTTCACACCTAGATCACCTTTTGTTGAGAAATAAATGAGTTGTAGCTGTTTAAATGTCACGCTCAGAGGCATGCTGTCAATACTCTCAGCTACTACAGCAGATTTCAGCTCAATTACTGTGGAACTGAGTTCAAGCAGTTTTTGTGTTGGCTAAAGTTGATTATCTGATTTGATTGTGTTGATTAAACTGTTGATTATCCATGCTGCTGATTTATTGTCTTTAGGCTGCTGTATTCATTCCCATCTTCAAGATGGTCTCTCTTGTGAACGAGTCCTTGTGGCTCAATGAGACTAACCTGTATAAATAAATGTTGAATGAATCTGCTCACAAGAGGCTCATGTTCACGCTGCTGTTTAATATACCTTACATTATTAGTGTTTAGCGCATATCTTAGATCCTTGGGCCTTGAGTACACAATTTCATTCCACCTCATGTACCACATGTGATGTAAATGGCAATAAAGAACCTTGAACCTTGAATTAAAATTTCAGTTCAGTTTATTTATATAGCGCCAAGACACAACTGTCTCAGGGCACTGTACAAAAATGTTCACATACATAAAAAAGCCAGTTAATAACTATCGAAGGAAGCAGCAGATTGTGTTGAATCTTCACTTTGTCGCAGTCTCCCATCCTGAGCAAGCACAAAGGCAACAGTGGAAAGAAAAAACTCTCTCAGCTGAGTCGTAGCTTCACAGGTTCCCGGTGAACTCTGATCTTTTTTTTTGTTCCGGTTGTTTTTATTTTAACCTTTTTTTGCGCCTACGATGCAAATCCACGGTACAGGTATGACTGCGACACACTTGCAGAGTTTTCTGTGTTGCTGCTTTGCCATCGTGCCATCGTGGTTCAGTTCTTCCAGCCTCGGGCTCAGGCCTGTCATGGCGGCTGTCTCCATGATCCTCCATCTGCCTGCACGGACCCAACTCTATGGACCTGTTCAGTTCCGCCGGGAAACCTGGATGTTCTCCGTCTGCTGGACCCGGTTCTGGAAGGCTGTGTGTGAGGGCAGCTGCTGCGGTCATTATATTACTATTGAGCTGCTAACTAGACCTGCTAACGCTGCTAACAGCACCACACCACTAACCGAACCTCACTGCTAACAGTATCATGCTGCTAACTGGACCATGTTGCAGATATCCTCACTGTCATCAGAACCACTCTATGCTGATGTGGATTTATTTCTTTGTCACTTTTGGCACCTTGTTTCTGTATTTTTGTTGCATGCTTTGAATAATTCCTAGTTCGTTAGTTTAGGTTAGTGCTCGCATTAAGCGTGTAACTTATAGCCAAATCGAACCAATGAGAACTGTGCTGCCTTATTTACTGTTTCTTTTTACAATTTATATTTTTGTTATTGTTTGATGTAACTGTGTACACAATTTTGTTCCACTACATGTACCACATGTGATGCAAATGACAAATGAAGAAACTCTGAAAAAACTCCCTTTAACAGAAGACACCTCCAGCGGGATCAGGCTCAGGACGAGCGGCCATCTGCTTTGACCGGCTGGGTTTGAGAAGTCAGCGATCGCCATCTCAGTCCAACAGCTAATCAAATGTAGATGTGTATTCGGTGATTATGGTTATAAGTTCAATAGTTCATGAGATGTGTTGGTAACAAACACAGACACAAGCAAAGGAAAACAATCATTGCAACCTTCCTCTTGGCGGTGGCCAATAAAAAATCCTTACTGGGCCTTAAGTTCTTCTCAAGGTGCAGCCAACATAAATCAGCTGTCCTCTGCCCCTGCTGTCTCAGTTATGATTCATGGTGGGTGGTGTAAAGGTGACCATCACAGTCAATAAATCTCCACTCCGTCAAGCCAGAAAGAGAATTCAGATGTTGTCAATTTTTAAAAATGTATTCACAACTTGTACCATTTCTCATTGATTTCACACGATTCTGTCAACAACCCAGGTTTATGTTAAGAGAGCGGAGTAATTACAATCACTTTTAAGTGGTGACATCTGGAGTCTAATTTGTGCTGCTTTTCTAAATCAACCTTTGATTTGTTTCACAGGAACCTGGGGAAATCTGGGTTACGTGTCTCCTGCCTGGGGCTCGGTGAGTACCTTTAATGAACGTCAGCAAGTTTAAAAGGGTTTCATCGTCTTTCTTATTCTGCTTTGTGTTTGTTTGTGTGGCTGCAGAGAGGGCCGAAGTATCAGACATCCTATAAATGATATAATTTCTAAACCTTATGCATCTTTAATTTAGAAGCCACAGGAGACAAAAAATATAACTTTTTGCAAAGTGTTTACACATTTAATATTTAATCAGCAGGTGTTTTCAGTAAACAAATGGCTCCATTATCGCACATACTGGATGAACACCAGTTGATTTTTCTCATTCCGTTCATTAAAACTTTGTTTTCGTATCTTTGTTCTTACATTTGAGTCTGCGCCAAATTGCTCGAAGGGGTAGCGCCACTGAAGGGGAAAATCCATTACGAGGCAAAGAAATGATGCAGTGTTGCTCTGACTCGGCAAACACTGAGGAAAGTGTGAAAATGAAACAGTTAATCATTCCCGTAGTGAATTGTTCTTACAGATACAGCCACGGTCTGAGCAGCAGCTGGATATTAAGAGATTAAAAACATGTCGCAGCTGAGAACCTCAAAACCGTACTGGCGCTCCCCCAAGCTGAACAGTGAAGAATGATAAGACTTCTTTAATGTAACTTTGTGCAATTTTAAATGTAAAAGTTGCATTAAGGCATGTTTACTGAGCCATTGCCCTAAGCATTGGAGCATACTGGACTCAAAACTACTGCAAACTGTGGAAATAATGTCAATAAAATCAGGAATATTTGTTGGCTCTGCACCATAAACTGTCCAAATAAAGTCATAAAGTGTGTAAGAAGAAGACGTGATTATGAAAATTGGACAAAGCAAAGATTTAACACTAAAACAGTTCATGTAAATGTACAAAGTATTATATTATGTTCCAGATACTGAACATCTGCCAAGACAGTTTCAAACCAATACAAGTGTAGCGGGTTTATGATGCAATAAATTATATATGGATAAATAAAACCAACTGGGAGTAACTCTTTGCTTGAAGCAGAGGCCTATCTGTGAGTCTTGTTCACAACTGGTTGGATGGAGCTGGAGATGGATCGACTGATCGGGGTCTTGCCCTCAGTAAGGAGGGTGTTGTTCTCGTGGTAAGGAAGGAGTTCGCTAAAAGGCACAGCTCTTGATGTACTGTATACTTTCCAGTCCTCACCTATGGTCATGCGGTATCATGACCAAAACAAGATCCAAGCAGCTAAAATGAGCTTACTCCATAAGGGGGCCATGCTCAGCCTTGGAGATAAGAAGAGGAGCTCTGAGAGCCGCTGCATCTCTGCAACGAAAGGAGTCCACTGCGCCGGCTCAGGAGTCTGATCAGGATACCTTCTGGACATCGTGCTTGTTTGTATCCCCAAAGTTTTATTTTTTATTCAATCAGATGGAACTGATTTGGAATAATTACTTAACCAAAATTATGATTAGAGTTAGTTATACAATGGATGCATTTGAAAATCAAATAATTTAATGTTAAGGTTTTCCATCTTTTCTACCAATCCAGAAAATAAATAAATAAACTGTCATGTTGCATTGTCCTGTGAAAAGGTTTAATTTTCTGACTGTATCCATTTAATTTTTTACCCTTTTGTTTGTCTTATAAACTTTTTATGTTGAAAAAAAAAAAAGACATTTGAACAATAACTTAGCACTTTGTTAAGCTCTAAATACAACATTGTGTAAAAAAAAAAAGTGTCCTACATATTGGTCATAAGTGGACGATAACTATGAAACTGTTTAATTATAAGAACGTAAGAATATGAAGTAAAATAAATTGGTAAAAAAAAGATTACAGCTTGCTAGAATTCTGTTTTGGTTTTGCCACGTTGGCAGCAATATGCTTCACATATATGCACATATACTGCAGACGCTGACTAATTTTTAGAAAGGTCACTGACATAAAACATTGCCATCTCACAGATGTTAAGTATTTAAAGTGACCCGGCTTCTTTAGTTGTGCTGAGAATAAACGTACAGTTGTCATGTGTTTTGGGTAAATCCACTGCTTGAACTGTTTCTATACATTTTACTGTATTTGCACAAGAACATGTAAATTTACTTTTGTGCAAAAACATTAGCAACTATTAACTTTTCATACGAGTGTTTACTGCTTTGTCTCTATTGTATTCTTAATTATGTCACTTTATCTGCTCCAAACAGAAAAAGGCTTAAATCAAATAACAGAAAAACAGTATGAGGCTGATTTTGTTTTTCCTGAATCAGCAGTGTTTAAATGCAACTGTCAAAAATGTAATTTTTAGGACAAAACAAGAAAGCAGACATTGTGTAAAACTCAAAAAAACTTGTCCTCACTGCTATAAAGTTGCGTTGTTAGTTTTTATAAATGGGGCAGATTTTGTTTTGATCGTTGCCAGCTGGGAGAGTTCAGGCTGCGCCTACACCAATCTGCTGCCTCGCTGCTGCACATTTGGCTACTGATTCAACAGGTTTTTGCCATTATTTCTCATTACTGAGAGACGGCGCTTCATGGGACACATTCTGAGGGGGACAAATTATCTTTGACAGAAAATGTTCGTTTGGAGAAAGAATAGGGAATTTGTCCTTATCTATATAAACAGCATGCATCATCATTAAAATGTTCATTATTGTTCTTTAAAAGGAAACTAACTATATATTTGTTTCAATAAAAGTTGTTTATATATATATATATATATATATATATATATATATATATATGACAAGAAGCAACAAATACTTGTACATTAGCAAACTTAAAAGCACAAAGTGCCTCCATTTGTGGGTGTTTATTCAAAGTTTTAGCTGCATGCAGGTTTGAAAGTGAGGAATGATTCCAGCTACAAGCTTTAAAGACGAATCCAGAAAATGAGTTGTTCAGAATTACAGAGAAAGCACAGAAACATCTTTGTAGCAATAAGAAAAGAGCTCCCCCAAAACTTAAAATGCAAGGTTTCTCACTGATAAAAGGAGTGTGAACACTTTCAAACTATATGTTTTTGTTTAAACTTTTTAAAAAGTTTAGTAGGAGAAACAATACTTTACAAAGTTTGTCTCTAATGAGAATCAGCAGGAATAAGAGCCTGCTTATGAACTTGCTTGATAGGTTAAATTATGTATTTGAGTTAAATCTTGACATCAAAAGGAAAAAGAAGGATTAAACTTAACAAAAAAGATGGACATCCAAGCATGAATATAATTTTTTTTCCCTTCATAGTGAATATAGCTGCAAACTAAATAAATGTATTCAGAGTCCATGCGTTACAGCCCAGTTTTATAAATCATTGAAGGAGCTGTGAGGATTAGGAGTGTATGATATTATTTCTTGTATGGCATTAAAGTAATATAATGCATTTTTTATCACCACCCAGATGCACACAGCTTTAGATGTAAACATTTATGGAGCGAAACAAGAAAAAAAATACAATCAGTTTATCTTTTAAATAATTTATAAATATATTTGTGAACTACTGATGCACATACTTTAGACAATCTTTCTTAAAGATTATCAAGCCAAAAGCAATGATTTTCTGATGTCATTGATATTTGGTGGCGCATTTTAACAACGATTCAATACGTTAGATTTGAGTGAAAACAAACATTCGTGCTTCTCTACATGTACCAAAAGCTCACTGGGTCAACGTTTAGCTGACATTTTCTGTGATGGCTTTAGGGCAGGAGGCACACTGTCATGTGTCATTGCCAAAAAATGTCAAAGTAATATGATTGCACATCAGATATGACGTGCAGAAGGTCCTGTGTGTATTTTTTTTTTGTGCTAAAGATGTGACTTATGGTATTTCCTTCAACAGGAACATGGGTAACATTTGGAGGACAAATATCTGATGAGGTAAGACTTCATCCTGTGCATTACTCAGATATTAGTCATTGTTTTAGACCCAATTGGGCAAACTAGTCAGTAGTTTGATGGAAATGGAGGATTAGACCCAGATGCAGACTGAAAATAAGTATCTTGAAGGTAAAACTAAACAAAAAGGCTTTAACATCCAACAAAGTTAAATCACGTCATCTGGATGGTTTATTTGTGTTGAAATGTTTTGTCTTTCATGATCCAAAAGACTTCATCAGTCTGAGGAGCCGCAGCAAACTCAGTCTTAAAAATAGCACACTCACATAGTGGACCAACCAGTTTGATGGTGATAAGATGGTTTCTGGAGTCTGCCCTCTTCCTCGTTGACTCCTTCAAGGCAGCCATGGCCAAAGTGGTTCAAAACATCAAAGTTCATGCTCAACAATCCAATGGGACAATGAGACCCAACAATGTGGGACTGAGTTTGTTTTGGCTCCTCAGACTGATGAAGTCTTTCGGATGAAAGATGAAACATTTCAACAAAAAGAAACCGTCCTGGGGACCTGACTTCACTTTGTTGGATTTTTTTTTACCTGGCTTATAGAGCGTGAACTTTAATGCTTTATTTAACAAATTAAACAAAAGATGCTGGTGAGGCAGCCAAAAACTACTTAAAACTAAGAAAAATAGAGAACACTGTGACTGCGTGAAAGACTAATGCTGAACTCAAAAGCAAACTGAGGAGCAAGCCTACAAAAAAGCACTAATAAAACCTAAACAACAAACACTTGGGTGATTATCGATCAGGGACTGGTGAGGGTGGCAGACTAAGTGGAAAAACAATGAGTAAACGAGGAATGACACAAGAAACAGGAAAACAGAACAAGACCTAAACCAGAATAAAACAAAGTGCAAAAACACAAAATAATTTAAAAAAATCTAAGCTGAACAGGAAAACACAGCAGAACCCAAAGGACAAAAAAAAATATTTAGTAATAAAAATTAACAAAACATGAAGGGAATACTGTAAAACCAAAAGATAAACTCAAGGATTAAATGAAATAACATAAAAACACAGACTGTGACAAAAATAAAACTGTTTGCCAGTGTTCCTGGACCTCATCTGGGTATCATTTCCTCATATTGCAGCTGGTTGTTGAGTCTGTTGCTCCACCAAGACTGGATGGTTAGGTTTTACTCTTCACTGCCAGAGGACGTCTTCAGTGGTCCGACCCAGCCTTGGAGTGGGGTGGGAGTGGTGCCGAATTGGGCAAGACTCATAAATGATTAACAACTAAACTAAACTAGAGAAATTATATTTCCTGTGGAAATGCAGTGTGAATGCTTATTGGTGAAGAACTTACTGAAAAACAGTCGAAATTAGCTAAAAACATGCTGAAATATAGCTGAAATGAAAGAACAAGACTAAGTTAGTAAGCAGAAAGAACACATTTGCTGAATTAGGTTTAAATATGCAGAAATTAGCACAAAAATTAGGAAATTTGCTTAAAAAAAGGTTAAATTAGCACAAAGTAGCTGGAAAAATAGCTAAAAATGTATAAAGAAGCATAAGCTACCAGAAGGATACAGAAAGAGCTGACATGAGCCCCAAAATGTGGAATTAGCTGAAAAAGATTAAATGAGAATAAAAACAGCTTAATAGTAGCTGAAAGTAACAGAAATAACTTGAATGGAGCATAACAATCTAAAATTACAGAGAAAAGTTAATTAGGCTGAAAGTGGCAGAAATTACCATGAAAAACTTGAATTTACCTAAAAACAGCTGAAATTAGCTAAGAAATGCTAAAACATATATAGCTGAAAAGTATAAAAAGTGTAAATTAGCAGACGAAGCAGAAAGAACACATTTGCCCAATTAGTCTGAAGGCAGCAGAAATTAGCACGAATAGTGTAAATTATCTGTAAGACGCTAAAATTAGGGAAAAAACAGCTGAAAAGTAGCTAAAAAAGCAGCTTAAATTACCAGAAGGAAGTGGATAGAGCACAATTTTACTGAATTAGTCTGAAAAATGTTGAAATGAGTGGAAAAAAATGTGGAATTAGCTGAAAAGGCTTAAATTAGCATAAAAAATGTTTAATAGTAGCTGAAATAGTAGAAAAAGCTGGAACTTGCAGAAATGAGCTGAAAGCATTATAACCAGCTGAAATTACCAGAAAAATGTTAGAAGAAGCATAAAAATGTTGTAGTTAGCAGAACATATCTGAAAGGAGCACTAAATAGCTGAACAAAACAGCTACAGTTAGCTGAAAAGAGCTGAAAAAAGTTTTAATTTGCACAAGGAAGCTGAAAGAAGCTGAACCAGAACAAAATGTGAAAGGCGCAGTAAAAGGTTGTAAACAGATCTAAAGATTTGAAGGATGTAAAATGAGCTCAGTTCATTTTCTATGAAAAAAAAAAAAAAAGTGTCAGAAAAGGCTAAATATTTCAAAAAGCTAAAGTTGCACCAATACCAAAAGTCATAGCAGGATTGTTCTGAAAAAGCTTAACGTTTTGATATACGATGCTTCATAAGCATTCACACTAGTAAAGAAAAGGACACAGAAGGAGGACTTTATCTTCAGACCTCCTTTCTCAACAACTGGGTCAAACAACAACACAAATCAACTTTAATCAACAACAGTGTTGTTCTGGTGCGGCTCCTTCACATTCTTCTGGGAACATCTTTTCTGTTTGAAGTGTAATTTGCATCCATATATTCACTGACTTTCATTACACCGACGTTCATGAGGGCTGACGTCTCTCGTTTGTGTCAGGTGGCAGAGCAGCTGATGACCATCGCCTACGAGAGCGGGGTCAACCTGTTCGATACGGCTGAGGTCTACTCTGGGGGGAAGTGAGTATTGTTTCATATTTGTCGTCATCCATGAGCCACATTTCTGGTTTTGTTTGTTATTTTGTGTCTCACAGAACATTAAGAAGTTTTTTTCCCCAAAGCAAGAATTGTGCACTTTGGTTCATCAAAATGAGAACTACCTGTGTCTCTAAAATGGCTTAGATGATTGTATTCATCACTGGAGGCTCACTTCTATCCCCCCTGCCCGGTCGTTGTCTGGGTGAATGATGTGCTACGTGTGACAGCTGGAATGGAATAAATGACATTTTCAAGGTTGCTGGTGAAATTCAGGCGTAGGCTCCAGGAGTCATTTCTCCTTTATGTTGCACTGCCTGTGGTTTTTAATCAGGTGTTCATGCAGATACTGTGGCAGATAACGTTCACGCTTGCATGCTGCTACAGAGATGGCAATCTGGGATCTGATCTCATCTCTTCTGTGCATTGTGTCTTTGGTTTTGTATCTAATTGTGGTTTTTTTTGTTGTTGTTTTTTTTTTTTTTTTTTTGCACAGAGCGGAGATAATCCTGGGAAACATCATCAAGAAAAAGTGCTGGAGGTAATGTTGAGTCTCTAAGCAAACACCAACATCAACGTTTTCATTCAATCGTCCAGCTTTGTTTAATATCAGCTCGTTTCCACTTTCAGATTTAAAATAAAAGTTGAAAAGAGTTTTAACCCCATCAGTGGATGAAGTTTATAAGTGTTATTAACAATAATTAAATGAGCAGCATGAAGAGAACATAAACAGCTCAGACAAAAAAAATACTGTATTTTTCAGACTACAAGGCCTAAAACCCTTTAATTTTCTCAAAAATCGACAGCGAGTCTTATAATTCAGTGCGCCGACAAATACGGTACTGTGTTTATCCCTTGAAACATTTAGGAGGAGAATTTAACAACACATTTTTAAATATGTATTTGATATTGATCATATTCTGCTCAATCAATCTGATCAAAAGTGTTGCTGTTTTCAGGAGAGTAAGATTTGTTCTGGACTACAAATATCTGTTTATTTTATATAATACTCTCATTGTATCATATTTAGGCTATTGTGTGGTAGTTTGGGGCAATACATACACGAGAAACTTACAGTCGCTGTACACAATACAAAAAAAGCTATCAGACTATTACATAAAGTGGAATATTGGCACAAATCCATAATTTTTTTAATCAAATGTACTGAAATTCTGGGACCTTGTAAAATTCAAAACTATACAATTTATGTTCAAAGTAAAAAAAAACTGTCGACTTCCACACACTATTCAAAAAAATTATCGTGACAGAGAGGGGGGGTTATAATTTAAGAGGAGAAAAAAAACAATGTATCAGAACAACCAAAAATAGTTTTTCTATATCAGTGTGTGGAGTAGATCTATGGCATGGAATAAATTATGGGCTCAAACAAAGTACAAATATAATCCAGCTTAAAAAACAGTATAAAAATGAGCTTTTTGAAAAATGTGTTGTATAGGATGGGTGTAGCAAAGACCAAAAATGCTACGGTTGATATTAATAAATAAATAATTGTACATTCAACGATGAGAATGTGAGGTTTAAGCATAATTTAATGTGGGAGTATTATAAGGGTTATTTGATGTGGGGATACTAAAATGATTGTATATTGATGTGTACAGGTATGACAGGGCAGGAAATCATAAGATCTTTATCTTCTACCTGCTCCTTTTCGAACAAATTGTGTAAAATTGCATATCCATTATGACTTTATTTTATTTTTTATCTTTCTTTGCTTTTACTTTTCATTATCTGTTTGAAATAAAGAAATAAAATAAATACATTTATTTTTGATTAAGCACTGGAATCATATTTAAACTGTTGAAGTTTTTCTGTCATAATCTGTGGGTTTTATTGGCTACTATGAAATGCCTTTCAGAAATCCAGCATTTTTCAGTCAAGTCATCTGGACAGTTTCTTTTTTTGTGCTGAAATGTTTCGCCTTGACTGATGAAACCTTCTGGATCGAAGGCGAAACGTTTCAGCACAAAAAAAGAAACTGTCCAGATGACCTGACTGAAAAATGTTGGATTGTAAACCTGGATTATTGAGCATGGACTTAGTTGCCTTTCAGAAATGTGTACTCAAACTGAAATATTCCCCATATTACTCAAAGCTCGTGAAAAAGATGCTTTAATGTTTAAACCTGCTGAAACAGCTAAACAAACCTGAGCTCTGCTACTCGGGGCAGCTGTGGTTCAGGTGAGACAAACATCTCTGGGCATCTCATTAAAATGCTATGATTTGCTTAGTAACCTTGCATTCATGAGGATATTCCCCTTTTGCTTTAACCCCTCCACCCGCAACACACACACATTATTCTCCCTGACAGCAGCATCCCCCCGCTGGACAAAGAAACAACCACCATATAAACGGCACCAAAACTGCAAAAAATAAAAAACACAACAATGAAGCTGAGGTATTAAAAAGGCCTCCAAACTCCCAACATCCCAGTTTTAATTTAACGTCTATACAGGATGTGCATAAACGAGCCCTATTCATCTCAAACCCTCAGCACCCAAAGGGTCTGCCAACCTGGACATCTCAGGGTCTCTGTGACTGTTAAAGAAGGGTCAGAGCTGGTTGCAGCTGGCTTCACTCCCATCTCATTTATCTACGTTTGGCCTCAGTCAAGCTGTGAAAGGATAAAATTAGAACCAAATCATAAAAAATAAAACAAATTCTCTTAAACTTTAGCAATCAGTGATAAGAGTGAAAATGTCCAGAACTGTGGCCCCTCAAATAACCAATATGATGCCAGAGCTGCCATCGTTCTGTTTAAACAAGGTAAACAACGATTCAAGGTTCTTTGTCATTCGCATCACATGTGGTACATGAGGTGGAACAAAATTGCGCGGTCCCAGTTACACACATAAAACAGCAAAAAATATAAAGTATAACAAGAAACGAATCTCTAGGATATACACCAAGACACTAAACATTAATAATGTAAAATAATATGGTATATTAAACAGCAGCCCGATGGTGACACACAAAAGTCTAATGAGAAATGTTGCAGTCAACCAGCACCGCGTCTCTTGCATAAGGAGGCTGGAGAAGTTTTGGTCATGAATTAGTTAAGACAATTAAGACAAATAACAAGAGTTTGATCAGTTAGAAACAAGGAAGTCTTGCCTGTTTTGGAAGAATGAGAAGATTCTGCAGAGGCAGATGAAAAATTAAATTAATTGACAGATGTTCTGAGAAGTCCTCATTAGGGGTTACTGAACTGTCATCTGTAGAGCTTTATTTATTTATTTATTACATAGTTTGATGTTGGGTCATGCTACTCTCTGAGTGATCTAACTTTCCAGCCAAGACCAAAGTGCTGATTGTCTTGTCCTTTGTCTGACGAGCCTTGTTTAAAAGACGGTCTCAGGTTGCACAGGATCTGCCACTTGGAATAGTTCCATCCCTGGAGGAATTCCTGTTAAACACTTGGGTAATAAAGTGATAAAAAACAAGCTGGGTTTTGCCTTTCTTATCTTTATATAATAACATTAAATAGCATGTGAATGAATATAAAATAGTACATGAAAATGGAAAGAATCATAAAATAAGACCAAACATGTATGTGTAACCGCTGCTAGGCTGCAGGTAGCTGCTCACTGAGTTTCCTGCTGATTAAAAATCATATATATGTAGAAAAACTGTAGTATTGATCTGCTGGGTTCTGGTGAGATCGAATCCAGGATTGCAGAGAAACACAAGTAGCTCAATATCCTGATGCATGCTCAAGTAGCTCAAGTAAAAAAATAAAAAAAACTTGAAATGTATTAAAGAAAAAATACTGATGCAATAATTACAAGAAAACAAGGAGACGCTGAGGAGAACCATACAGGCATGAAGCACGATGGCAGACTGATGAGTGAGAGGAAGAGTAGAGTTTAAATGGATGTGAGGAGTGAGTTCATGTCAGAACAGCTGAGCCTAATGAGGAGCAGGTGAGGATCACCTGAGGAGAAGAGCTGAAGGAAAAGTCCTGATGGCACCAAAAACACCGGGAAAAAAACTGAAACACTGAAAACAATCAGAGACATATAACGAGAGGAATGAATCCAAAAATAATAAACAGAAAAAGCTACAAAAAATGAAATGACACAGATCCTTACGTAATGCTTAAAAATGATGTCAGCCCAGATTGTTAGCATATTAAGATGTACAGCAAACTGGATCACAATATAAATTAACCCACTACAGTAATTTAGGATTGACAAAGCTGCAAAAAGGGATCAAAGGCATTATGATGCAATATATATAATGTATATCATGGAGGTGTCCTTCCAGTATGAGTTTAGTGAATTTATTTTGTGTAACATCAAAGATTTTGTGAATGTTTTTTTTTTTTTAATTATATAACTGAACTCATGATGACTTTTTTTGCTCAGTCTATTTTTTTATTTCTAAAAATAGGGAGTCTGACCACATCATACAAATCTGACCCAGCACTTTTCTTGAACAAGCTTTTTATGTTTCGGTGTTTCTGCTTTCAAGCGTACGTGGTGAGACGAGCAGATGGAAGTGGCAGAGGGAGTTTTTTGCCGCCTCCTATATGTTAGGTGAACGATAAGCATGAAAGATCTCATTAGCTGAGAAGTTCTGTGTGATAGATGGAGCAGGTTTCACAGAACCAACTGGTAATTAATCACTAATGTACATTATGTGCTCAACAATAACGGCACAGATGAGCTGTTTTCAATTCTGCTCAGTTCTTTGCATCAGTTCTGGATGGGTTTAAATAATTAATGATTCAAGCATGAAGGACTTGACAGAGTGGGAGTTTCCTGATCGAAGTTCAGAGACAAAACTCTCATATTTGATGTTGCATGTTAGAAAACAGAGCACCCTCTGTTGTCCACTTCTCACTGCAGAATGTTACCAGTCAGCTTGTGGTTGCCTACGGAAACAATCAGATTAATTCACCGCCACGTTGAATCATGATTTTATTTCTGAGAACAACTTTTTAATGCCTATTTTGTCTTTTTGATGTGTGTTTCTCCCTCAGGAGATCCAGTCTGGTGATCACCACAAAGCTCTACTGGGGAGGAAAGTAAGTGTGCACTTGTTTTTGTTTTTCTAGCCAGTGGATTTTCCATCTCAGATCATCTGACTCACGACTGGTCAGACGTAAAATTTCCGCCTCCAGCTGCAGGGAGCATGACATAATATTAGACATTCTGAAGCAAAACCCAGGTACAAGTACAAGCCACTCAAAAATATTAAATAATAAATGTCTAATTCCCCTCTCCATGTTATGGTAAATATAAACCTCAGGGATTCATTAAGTGGAGCATCTACCACATGTTTCCTCTGATTTTTTAATCTTATGAAACTCAGTTGGGAGTGGCACGGTGGCTCAGTTGGTAAAGCTGTTGCCTCTCAGCAAGAAGGTCACCGCATCGAATGCAAGCCAGGGATGTTTCTGTGGAGTTCTCTGTGCATGTGTGGGTTTTCTCCGGGTACTCCAGTTTCCTCCCACAGACCAACAACCAGCATGTTAGACTGATTGGTAACTCTAAATTGTCTCAAGGTGAGAGTGAGAGTGTGGATGGTTGTTTGTCTCTAAGTGTCCCTGTGATGGACTGGAGACATGTCCAGGGTGTCCCTCGCCTCTCGCACTGTGATAGCTGGACATTGGCACAAGTGACCCCTGCAACCCAAAAAGTATGAAGCAGGTAAAGATAATGGATGGATCAGTTGAATTGAGTCCAAAAGGCAACATAGAGTTTCTCCAAAATCAATCTCTCTTGCTGCAGTCAAGATTTATGATGGCTTGGTTCGTGTCTCGAGTACCCAGACTCAAATGTTTTGGGCTGAATGGATCAGATCTTGGGGATTTTACTCAGTCACGTTCCATCGGTGTGGCCATGTATTTTGGATGTTTCGGAACCGAGTGGACCAACACAGACTCAAGGTAGATGTCATTAAGTTCTGCCTGTCCCCAAAACAACTGTGTGTTTATCTAAAGTTGGCTCCCTTGGCTGGCCTTGAAGGCCATCTTATCTGAATTCACCTGAAGTACATGTGATCTGATGCTCACCACCCCCTCCCTGAGGAATTTCCAACTGATAACCAGATGAACCAGCTGAATAAACTTTGTGTCATCATTTCTGGACTTGGATTCTCATAGACGTTATCAGACATTGACTGATTTTCCATCCTTATCAGAACTCTTGCAGTGTCCAGTTAACCACTGTGTTTGTCTGTCCAAACAGGTCTCACTTGTAAATGAGTCTTCAAGGCTCAATGTGATTTATCTGTTTAAATAAAGGTTGAATTAATTAATCTTTTAAACCTACTTTTAACTCAGGTGCATTTAGAGAACAATTTGTTCCCCAGATGAGCTGGCTGTGTTACTGCTGATAGTTTTGTCAAGCCTCTCAACACCCCAGCTTGCATTTACATATTTGATCGTTGCTTTCTCATTCTTGTTTGCACAAAAACAGGAAGGCTTGATAATAAAAAATGATAAGCAGCATTTTTTTATGCGTGAAAAAGAAGTCACACAAGCCAAAAACCATGCAACTGAGCAGGACCAAAGTGGAAGATCAAAGAGTAAAATCATAAAGTGACTAAAGTGATGCTGCTGAGGAAAAAGTGCCCAGATAGCTCCTTTTTATGAGGGTATATTTCAGACAAACCATCGCTGCAGCTGCTCAGAGCAGCACTCCTCTGAGGACCACAGAACTAGATGTCAGATAACATTTAGCTGCTCCACAGCCAGGTATCTCCCCCAGGACAGGAGTGTGAGGAAGCTAAAACATGACTAAAAAGAAAGTAGATATTGGACTTGTCACACAGACAGAGACGCAAGGACAGATTAGACAGGACAACTTCTGGTTTTTAAGTTTCTTCTTTCCTGTGGAGTTCCCTTCAGCTTTTAGTGTGAGCTTATGAAGCCCTAAAGTCCACATTATCTAGCCCAGAGACGACACTAATCCTAAAATACCTTAAAGTTTGTATTCCAGACTGTTCTGTTAAACTGTAAACACGCCTAAAGGAATTAAGTCTCTTCTGGTTTTTCACATGTGCACACAAAAATGTTTTTGTAATATAAAGTGCCAGAAATTCTTTCTGGAGACAGATGCAAACATTTAATAAACGAAGTGGTCATTGTAAACATAGAAATTTAAATGGGATTGTATTTCTCACAGGTGTGATAGATGTGCAAGGATAAATAATGAATTAGAGAAACTGCATTTCCTGCAAAAATGCAGCAAATATCCAGTGTGAATGCTTGTTGCTGAAGAACTTGCTGAAAAACAGCTGAAAATAGCTAAAACGATGCTGAAATGAAGCTGAAAAGGAAGAACAGGCAGAAGAAAGCAGAAAGAACACATATTTGCTGAATTTGGTTTAAATAAATAGAAATCAGCACAAAAATGAGTAAATTAACTCTAAAAGCTGAAATTAGCAACAAAAAAACTGAAAAGTAGCTGAAACGTTAGAAAGAAGCTTAATTATCAGAAGGAGGTGGACAGAACAAAAGTTTGCCCAGTTAGGCTGAAAAGAGCAGAAATTAGCACAAAAAAGTAGAAATTATCTGTAAAAAGCTGAAATTAGCAAAGAAAACTGCTGAAAACTAGCTAAAATAGCAGAACGAAGCTTAAATTAGCAGAAGGAAGTGGATAGAGCACAATTTTGTTGAGTTACCCTGAACAAAGTTTAAATGAGTGCAAAAAATGTGAAATTAACTGAAAAGGCTAAAAGTAGCATAAAACAGCTAAATAGTAGCTGAAATAACTGAAACTAGCAGAAATAAGCTGATAGGAGCATAATAAGCTGTAATTAGCATAATGAAGTTAGTTAGGCTGAAAGTAGCAGAAGTTACCACAAAAATACTGAAATTATCTGAAAACAGCTGAAATTAGCAACAAAAAAAGCTAAAAAGCTAGTTTAAAATGTAGAACAAGCTTAAATTAGCAGATAAAAGCAGAAAAATACATATTTGCCCAGTTATGCTTAAAGAAGCAGAAATGAGCACGAAAAGTGGAAATTATCTTTAAAAAAAGCTTAAATTAGCAACAAACAAAAAAAACAGATGAAAATTAACTAAAAAAGCAGAAAGAAGCTTAAATTACTGGAAGTGGAGAAAAGAAATTTTTGCTGAATTGGGCTTAAAAAAGTTTAAATAAATACAAAAAATGTGGAATTAGCAGAAAAGGCTAAAATGAGCATAAAACAGCTTGCTCATATATGCTGAAAGGAGCATAACAAGCTGAAATTATCAGAAAGAAGTTAGAAGATGCACAAAATAGTTGTAGTTAGCAGAACAAATATAAAAGGATAACAAAATAGTTGAAAAAACTGCTGAAATTAGCTGAAAATAGCTGGAAAAAAGTTTAAATTTACACAATGAAGCTGAAAGAAGCTGAACCAGAACAAAATGTGAAAGGAGCAGTAAAAGGTTGAAAACAGATCTAAAGATCTGAAGGATGTAAAATAGGCTCAATTCATTTTCTATGAGGAAAAAAAAGTGTCAGAAAAGGCTAAATATTTCAAACAGCTAAAGTTGCACCAACACCAAAAATCATAGCACCGTTATCCTGAATGAGCTGAACTTTTTGATTTATGATTTGTTTTTGAAATAGCACAAAATTGTGGAACGAGAAAAATGCCGAAAAACATACTGAAGAAAAATGGATCACAATAGTGTGAATGCCTCTTAAACATGTCAGTTCTGTTTTCAAAGACATTAACTGGGCAATACTTTCACTTTGAATTTTCTCTCTACAAACAAACACTGTATGCAGATTGTTCACCATACCGCTTGAAATTCTTATCTTTAGTGGTGATCATGTAACTATTTTCCAATGCCAAAGCTGAAAGGGTGATTATGTTTTTGTCAGTGTCTCTGTATGTGTTCATTTGCCTGTACACGTAGCAAAACATTTTATGAACCACATTGGAGAGATTTAATAAAACTCTCATAATCCAAACATCGAATGAATATCTAAAACTGATTAATTAACTTTTGTTGTTGTCTCACTTCAAAATGGCCCCCACAGCTAAGTGACATTGGCCAACACAAAAATAGCTCTAAAGTTGGTGTGGTAGTAGCTGAGAATGATTTGCAACACATACTTTAAGTGCTACACATAAAGCAACATATTTCCTGAAAACTTTGGCATTAACTGTCTATCAGTCTGTTAGCAAAATAGTTCATGAACCACTAGATAGCTGTTAGTGATGCTCTCAGAAAGAAATCATTGGATGATCATCTACAACAGTTTGGAGTCATCCCAATTCAAGATGGCCACCACGACTAATCAAACTTAGCCAGCCCAAAAATAACTGCAACTTAGTCAAATTTACAGAAATTGAACCAAAGTGTGTGTGGGAGTAGCAGATAGTCATCACCGATATGCAGCCTGAGTGCTAACAAATCTCTCAATGAATGTCACATGAGATGGTGCATCATGTTATTCACAAGGTTTGACCAAAACTGTGACAACTACATTTTTTTTTATCATGTAGGCAAATAATAGTGTGAATGTTTATGAAGCATTCACACTATTGTGATCTATTTTTCTTCCGTACAATTTTTGGCATCTTTCTCGTTCCACAGTTTTTGTGCTATTTCAGCAAATCATATATAAAAAGTTCATCTCTTTCAGGACAATCCTGTCCTGACTTTTGGTTTTGGTGCAACTTTAGTTTTTTTAAATATTTAGCCTTTCCTGCCATTTTTTTTTTTCCTCATAGAAAATGAACTAAGCTCATTTTACATCCTTCACATCTTTAGATCTGTTTACAAGCTTTTACTGCTCCTTTCACGTTTTGTTCTAGTTCAGCTTTTTCCACCTTCCTTGTGCAAATTTAAACTTTTTTCAGCTATTTTCAGATAATTTCAGCTGTTTTGTGATCCTTTTAGATTCTTTCTGCTAATTTCAGCTTGTTATGCTCCTTTCAGCTTATTTCTACAAGTTTCAGCTTTTTCTACTTTTTCATCTCCTATTCAGCAGTTTTTATGCTATTTAAGTTTTTTTCAGCTAATTCAATATTTGTTCCACTCATTTCAACATTTTTCAGACTAATTCAGCAAAATTCTGCTCTCTCTACTTCCTTCTGTTATCTTAAGCTTTTTTCTGCTTTTTAGCTAATTTTCAGCTATTTTTATTTATTTATTTAATTATGCTCATTTCTACTTTATTCATATAATTTCCACTTTGTGCTCTTGCTTCTTTCAGCCTAATTGGGCAAACATGTTTTTCTGCTTCCTTCTGCTAATTTAAACTTGTTCTACCTTTTCAGCTACCCTTTTAGCGTGTTTAGATATTCCGCTGTTTTCAGATAAATTCAAGTTTTTGTGGTATTTTTTGCTACTTTTATCCTAATTAAATTCTTTCTGCTAATTTCAGCTTGTTATGCTCCTTTCAGTTTATTTCTGCTAGTATCAGCTTTTTCTGCTATTTCAGCTATACTTTTTAGCTGTTCTGTGCTAAATTTAGCCTTTTCATCTAATTCCACTTCTTGGAGCTCTTTTCAGTTCCTTCCACTTCCTTCTGGTAGTTTAAGCCTCTTCCTACCTTTTCAGCTACTTTTAAGCTATTTCTTTGCTAATTTCAGCTTTTTTTTCTTAGATAATTTCTTAATTTTTTGTACCTATTTCTGCTTATTTAAACCTAATTCAGCAAATACGTGTTCTTTCTGCTTTTTTCTGCTAACTTAAGTCTTGTTCTTCCATTTCAGCTACATTTTATCGTGCTTTTTAAAAAAAAAAAATCTAATTCCAGCTGTTTTAGCAAATTCTTCAACAATAAGCATTCACGCTGCATTTTTGCAGGTAATCCAATTTATCTAGTTTTACTTTAACACTGTTATGAAGGGCAGTGGACAATCTGCATTCATTCAAGGAATGATAGGCCTTTAATATATTATGCCTGCTCTTGTCATTTATAATCGTCTACCTAAGCCCTACAAGTTGCAATCGTGTTTCTTCAGGTAACACGTTATTTTCTCTCGTCTTTCAGAGCAGAAACGGAGCGAGGCCTTAACAGAAAACACATCATTGAAGGTAACTCCTCTCCTCTGCTTTGACCAACACATTGCATCACACTGCAGCCCTTTAATCCTTTTCTTGAATTCCTCTTCTGCTTCTGGTTGTGCCTGTATCTCTTCTTAAGGCTGTGTTGGCAGAGATACATCAGACTTTGGCAGATGTTCTGTCTCTAACATCCTCCAAGGTTCATTTCTAATGATCTCTTGCCTCTTAGTGAGCCATAGTGTTAATTGCATTATCTGCTCCTCTTCTCTCCTCTGTTGGGTACTTTAAGACTAATTGAGGCCATGCTTAAGTATATAATGGTAAAACTTTCTCAACTGCCACCCCCTCCCTACCCATCTTTTCTAAAACCTCTGCACAGCGCAATGCACCTCCTGCAATGACTCAGCTCTCTCCCACATTATTAGCATTCTCGGCAGCCTCTGCAATGTTCTCCCCCCAAACCAGATTTGATGAATACACCTCGGAAAGAAGGGATGAGGACTCTGAAACAGACGGCTGCAGAGAGCAGGGGATGGACAGAGGGGGAGGGAAATGATCACTCATTAGCTGAACTCAGTTTGGTTGTAGATGACAGCGTTTGTGAGAGAAAGGTGTGACTTCTATCGAAGGTGAAGGCAGAGTGATAATGTTTTTGCCCACTTCTGTGTGTGCGTGAGTGTTCTTTGTCTGCACCATTAGTAAAATATCTCACAAATCACTGCTTGGATTTTTATGAAACTTTCAGAAAGTAATCAATGGATGTATTTCTACAACGGGTTAACTTTTGGAGTCAACTTGATTTAAGATGGCCGCCACATCAAAGCAATCTTAGCAAACACAAAAAGTCATATAACTCACATACTGAGCTGAAATCTTGCATGGTAGTAGCTGATCATCCGCCCAAACACATACTTTAATTGCAACACATTATGTGATATATTTGCTTAAAAGCATGGCATCAGTTGTTGAAGTGTGTGTCGAGAGATAGAATTATAAAGAATCACTGGATGAATTTCAGTGAAACTCTCAATTACAACTGATTAACTTTGGAGTCAGTCCAGTATGAGATGGTCATCTCATGCCACGTCATGATTACAAGCCTTCATGCTTATGAAATCCATATAAGATTCTTAACTGGAGTTAGTAGGAGAAATCGTATCTCTTCAGTTTTAACTTCTCTCCATTGGCTCCCTGTGAAATCCAGAATTTAATTCAGAATCCTACTTCTAACCTACAAAGCCCTCAACAACCTAGCTCCATCTTATATTACACATCTTATTGTTCCATATTTTCCTAACAGAGCACTTTGCTCTCAGACTGCAGGTTTACTTGCAGTTCCTAGAGTTTCCAAAAGCAGAATGGGAGGAAGATCTTTCAGTTATCAGGCTCCTCTCTTGTGGAACCAACTTCCAGTTTCTGTCCGTGAGGCTGAAACATTGTCCAGTTTTAAGACTGGACTTAAGACTTTCCTTTGTGATAAATCATATAGTTAGTCGGCTTGTCATGCTGCTTTAAGCTTAGACTACTAGAGGACAAATTGACCTCATTTCCTTAAATGAATTGTTAAAATTGAATAGTTTTCATTGATAACTATTTCTCTCTTAATGTGATTCTTGACCTGCCATTGTGTATCTGTTCTTTTCAAACCCAGCCAGTCAAAGCAGATGGCTTCTTGTCTTGAGCCTAGTTCTGCTGAAGGTTTCTTTCTCATGAGGGAGTGTTTCCTTTCTGTTCAGTGCATGAGATGACTTCTGTTGTGACTTGGCGCTATATAAATAAACTGAACTGAATTGAAAACGGAAATAAAATAAAAAATCTGAGTGTCAATCAATCGTCATGTGAGATCTTGTAATATCACAAGATTACACGTATAGGTTGAAGGTTTCAATAAAATGTCAAAATATGCATATCTAAAATAAAACATGCTTTTATCACATCCTTTACAGAACACACTTTAAATACTTGTTTAAGTCTAGATGTCCGTAGAAAACCTTTTGTTGTTCTCCATTCCTAAAATAGACTTCCTTCACAGCCCGTAAACTGCAGCTAATCCAAGCGACAGCTGGAGCTGCTGGTGCTGAAGGTGCAGACTCAGATTAAGATCCGTGTAAAGGATGTTTCTGTGGAGGTGCAGGAGACACGAGGAGGTATAAGTACTTCTAACAGTGGTAGGAAGCAAATTTCTCAGCTGGGATTAACGAGTGATGATGAAGCCTCTGGCACTAATCTGTAACACACACACTCTCATAAACACACGTCTTTATTTCTCTGCTGTTCTTTCTCAAAGTCTCCTGTGTGCACTGTTCACTTCTCATTTGGTCTCATTTGCATGAAAATGGAGGCTGATCTGCTTGAGCCAACATTTCTACTGATCTTTCCTCTTCTGTTGGTCTGAAGGTGTTAACTTCACTCAGACACCAACAGCATGTATTACTGCCTCGAGAACAAAGCATTCAGCACTTAAATTTTCATCACGTAGGCTCATCTTCAATTGATTATTGGTAAAAATAATTCTTAAATCGTTATAATTTTACACAATGACTGCCTCTAAGCAATGAAAGTGGTATTCCTTTTAGGAATGCATGCCAAACCTTTGAACAAGGATGCTACCACTACTACCAAATACTACCACACAAGCTTTGTCCTGTGGTTCATGAGATATTTTACTATCATGTCAAACAATCATGCGCCCACAGGAAGTTAAACTGATTATTTGCATTCTTCTCGTTGAAGGTTTAAAGGGTTCCCTCCAAAGGATGCAGCTGGAGTATGTGGACGTGGTCTTTGCCAATCGGACAGACAGCAACACTCCCATGGAGGGTAAGTGTGGCTTCTTGTAACATGAGATGGTGAGAAATCCTGATGAGACCGCTGTGTGTGCCGGACCTGTGGCCCTTGCCATTTGGGTCAGGTGAAAGTGATTAATTCAGACCTACACACACATTAGCAAAGAATCTTGCCTCATTTCTTTTCTTCTATTTTAGTCCACTAGTCTTCGACTTATTTCTTTTCCGTCTCTGTGGGAATGTTGCCTCCCCCCCCCCTCTCATCAGAAGCAGGATTATCCAGCTCCTTTGGGAGGGGTTGATGTATTTTTGGGTTGGTCTCACTGGGTACGAACCCTGCTGTGTGCTGGATATCCACTTTTCAACTCTGTAGTGCAGCGTTTCTTACTTGATGCTCGCACATATTTCTTTGAAGCATTTCCAGTGTTTCTTTATTTACTCCTCTCTTCATTTTGTGTCTTTTCACACAAAACTCCCTCCACAAGTAGTTTCTTTTTTCCCTCCTGAAGGGATGGCATCCCATTGATCACCCAAAAATATTTTCTATTTGTTTCTTCTGTGCCCTCCCTGCTGCCTCCCCCGACACCAGCTGGCTGTGGGAGGCCAATCTGTCAACTCATTGTTCCAGGGGCCCTGCTATGAGAACCCCTCAGTCTCCTCCATTAAACTCTCTAATAAATCCCCCTGCGGATAAAGACACTATATTTACAAGTGATGAATCAAAATGCTGCCAGACTGATGGATTATTTGCTTCAGTCTGATGAGATGTTAGAAGCATTTACAGAAATTTATGACATAGAGGCATAAAAAAGCAAAATAATTAGTCAAGAAATAAAATTATAGTAATTAAAGAACCGGCATTCCTTCATTGAATGCATATTGCCCGCCATCTTTCACGCAGTTACAACAAAAGTTTCCTACAAAATATTGTGTTGTGCTTGGAGTATGTGTTGGAGTTGACTCTCAGCTACTACCACACAAAGTTTTAACTCAACCTCCGTAAAGTGGGCAGAGTTATAAGCATTTTTGTTTTCTAAAGTCTGTTGCTGTGGCCGCCATCTTGAATTAGGTTGGCTCCAAAAGTTAAACAGTTGTGGATGTACATCCAATGTTTATTTTCTGCTAATTTCATTAAAAGTGGTTTGTGATATATTTTGCTAACAGACACACAGGCAAAGATACAGTATTAGCCAACGCGTCTGCATTTCAACAGCAAGCGATAAATATAAAACCAGAAGATACAATTTCCAAAACCAAGTACTCTAAAATTTTAAAATCAACATCTAGTAAACCCCCCCAAAAATTGCTTTAAATACACAATGTTTAAGGTTTTGAAGGAAATAAAAATTCTAATTAAACAGAATATTAGAAATCAAATAAAGAAAACTTTAATTAGAAGCACTTACAGGATCACAAAAAGAGCAGAGTAAATGTGCTGATGGCTGAGACCTTTAAAAAAAAAAATCAACATTTTCATGGTTTGTTGTAGCAAAAGATGTTTAATAAAACTGGTTTTGAATCTTTGCAAGATTTTTAACAACAAAACAAAAATAACAAAAAGCTGGAAAACAGCAGATCCATAAACTGAAGCAGATAATCAAACAAAAGCTGAATCAAACCAAGGAGCATTTATACAGTGGAGGTGGTGATTAGTGAGTGAGTACAGGTGTATGGAGGGAGCTGGAAACCAGAATAGAGCTTTATGGATTAGGATGCAACAAAAGCAATTTAAAATACCCTCTAAATTTAATGAAATATTAGAAAACTAAAACAGAAATAAACTCAAAATACACAAAAAAAATTGCATTATAACAACAAATATGGCCTTTAAGAAATTTAGACATTTAAAAGAAAATGCTTCCTGTGTCTTCAACAAATTATAAAACATTTGTTCGTCAACACCCTTCAAATTCTGATGATTTTAAAAACACTTTTTCTAAAAACTTTAAAATGCTGCAACCTCATGGTTGTAATGAGTGTTGGAGAAAAATATTCTTGCGTATCTTAAAAAGAACCACACTTGACAGCTGGAGAAGCTTTTTAACCGGTATTTACATGCAAGGTCAGATTTTCTGGACAGGTTACACAAATATACATAAAGTACACACGTGAAGACCAGTCACGAGTATCTTCCTCGAGCCATTTTCTCCGCTTGCTTTTATATCCTTATCAGTTCAGCCGAGTTCACAGAACACAGAGCTTGCTGCAGCCTCAGCTTCTCATCCAGCTCCCTCTGCTGTCCCAAACATATGGTTCATGGGCAGAGTTAAGATACTCAGCCCTAGTAATAAAAACGCCCATAACCTTTGATCAAAAATTTCTTAACAATGATTAAATGTCACGTTTTTAGAATTGGCCATTGTTAAACCTAAAACTGTACTGAAGCCACTTCTTACAACCATGAATAAGAGTTAAAGTATACAGTATATACATATTTTAAAGCCTGTTGCATATCTCAATATGGTGACTGAACTGTTGTTTTAGAGAGTGTCTATATGGTTGAAAATGTTTTGTGTAAAATAATACCAAAATATGTGAATCCTAACTTTACGCCCTTCAGAAATCATGCTGCTATATAACCAAGAAAAGGCAGCTAGAAAGCAAATGAACATATTTCACTTTAGCGTCATCATCCTTATTAAAGGAGCTTATGCCTTACCATAAATCAGAGCGGTTTTAACTTGAGTGTGTCTTTGTGTGAATAATAAGGAGTCTTGCTGTGCATCAGCTCTGTAATGTCTTTGTTTCTCTTGCTAGCTGTATTTTGATGAGTTTGTGGTTTCCAGTTCAACTGGCTGAAATTTAAGCTGGTAAAACGTCAGGTCAGTGCAAGAGGACGATTAAGTTTGCTACGTTTAATTTAAAAAAACAGGACGAAAGGCACAATGAGATTCTAAATGGTGCAGCTCTGTGCATTTGCATGTTTTTGTTACTTTAACCTCTTCCGACTTCATGTGAGACGACGCGTGTCGCCTTTGGTACAACAAAGTGATGTCATCGCAGCAGAGTCCGTCTTTGTTACCGTCACTGCGTCCTCCTCCGATGGCCTCGTTCTTCTCTACTTCCTCACCGATCTCCTTTCGCTGCGTGTTCCGTTTATTTTTTTCTGTAGAAAAGCGTACAACCTCCTTGCAAGACTCCTGCTCCATCTCCTCTGCTCTTTGCCGTCTGAGCTGTAAGTTACAAAGTTTTCCATCATGCTGGCATTAAAATCTGTTTATAAAATACTCCTCACAGTCTATACGATTAGAAGGTGCCTCCAGGAGGAAAAGCCGAGCCATGTCAATTTGTTTTATTAATAGGTGCACAAGCAAACCTGTCAAGGCCCTGCACAATGTTAGCCATTCATAATCTGATTTTAGATAAAGAACAGAATACAAAGGCTGAGGCACAAAAACTGGATCAATAAAACAATTCTAAATCCCTCTCAGGGGATCAGCTTCCTTCTTTTTCCATCAAACCCTTCTTTCCCACGACCACAAAGCTGATTCCAGGCATCCCCAGACACTGAAAATCCTCTACGGCGTAATATATTGATGACCGCTTCATATGCACGAGGAATAGAAACAAAGTCTCACAAAGCAAAAGCACATCCAAAACACCTCTCACAAAGACACGCTGACATCCACAGAGACGCCTGCCAGGACTGATATGGATTTCAGCGTGAGCGTTTCCCGTTCTCCTCTTTCTGCTGCACTCTTTCAGAAGGAGCGGTGTCATACCTGCAGACTCAGAGGCGTGTTGCTGAGGTGAGAGGGCTCAAGGTCAGGCAGACTCTGGCTAACAGCCAAAACGACTTCCTCTTAAGTGAATGCACGGGGATGAGCGAGACGAGTGTTTTATTCGTTCCTCTCGTCGTGAGCTTTTGCACTGTTGGATACGAGCAATGGAGTTTTAGTTTTATAATGAGTTTAATATGTTGGATATTCCTGAGCTGTAGTCTCAGTTTGACTTCTGGCAGCAGAGTTGAAGTTTAATCTGGTGAAGAGACTCTCTCACTGGTACATTTTCATCTTTAAATCACTTCTTGGTCTGCTGCCTTCATACATCTCCTCCTACATGTCTCTGCGTGAGTGCAGCTACGGAGTGCGCTCTCAGGACATTATTACCTGCAGTGTTCCCTCAGTGAGGACTGAACTAGGCAAAAGGGCCTTCTCCTACTCCGCTCCTGTTTCCTGGAATATCTTACAAAAAGATTTGAAGCTCTCGACCTTGACCTCTCTAAGTGACTTTAAGAATCTGTTGGACTCCTGGCAGGGACCAATGCAGACATGTTCCTGTTTTTAGTTTTATACATTTGTCTCGGAATCTAGCAGTTTTTTTGGTTTTGTTACCTTTTTCCTTTTAGCCATCCTATTTGTTAAAAAAAAAAAAAAAAA